CCACATTCTGGTGGAGGACACCTTCACCCAGCGCCCACACCTGTGATTTTTTACTGTCGGCCCTACAGTGGAAGAGTGACACAAAAGAAAAACAGCCGAAAAACAGGACAACCCAAGTGAGCATATAAAAGAGGTAGAAGTCAGGAAGAGAGCTCACAGGCAAGTGTGAGATCCTGCAGGCCAGACTGGTGTTAGAAGATAAAGACACTTTGGAATAGACAGAAGAATTACAGTAAAAGCAGTATAATGTATAGGGAGGCATGGCAAACACATTTAGATAGATAGATACTTTATTGATCCCGCAACAGCAGCTTAACACAGTCAACACAGCTATAAGTGCTATAAGAAAGCGTGGTATATTATACACAAATACTATAGTAAGTTCTATAGTACATGCATGCCCTAATCTGGGCTTAATTGTCAATTTATGACACACGTTTACCACGGTACAAATCTGTGCAGAAGATATTATCAAGGGCTATTCCGATGTCTTTTTTGGTCACAAGGCACAGGTTCCAGTGAGGGCTGAGGATGTGTGAATCAGATTCCCAAAATGTTTTGGGCTTTGTGCTGTATAAGGAGGGTGGCTAGCTGAGCAACGGTCACATAAAGAAGGTTTCAAACCTTCGGGTTGAAAGGAGGTGGCTTCCCTGCAATGTATTTAAAGGATGTATAGGTGTAGTTAAAAACCTCTTTAACACAAGGGCTGTAGAGCTGAGCCAAGCAATGAACAATGATTTAATGACGGAAAGTTGGGTGGGGTATAAAAATTAAATAGAAATGCCAAATCTAATTTTTATATCCAGGTATTATCAGAAAGATGCTCTATGTATTATATTATGGTAAGGATTACAGCAAACTAGAGCCAATCCAGGAAACACAGGGTGCAGGTTGAGACTACACTCTGTATTATACTGTCATTATACTATACTGCTGATGTACTTGTTTGTGTAAGAATTCCAGAGCAGCATTATCTTTTTTAAACGTGGGGCCAACATTATACACAATATTCTAAATAAAGTCTTACAATATGTCTTAGTGCATTTAACATAAAATTCCTTGATTAAAATCCTTGAAATTTAAGTCCTGTGTAGTTAAACATTTTGTTTGCCTTTTATATTACCTCTTCACATTATCTAGAAGAGGGAAATTATTTGTTAACTTCAAACACCTGATTTTTCTTTGTAGCTTTCATCTCATTTGTTGGCTTTCACATGCTAATTAATCCATGAATCTGATCCAGCCATTTCTTGAAATAATAGTATCAGTTTCACCAAAATGGTTGGGTAGCTCTTGTTCCAGACTCCCACAAACTTATATGCAAAAAAGTGCTTAATGATTTTAGGGTTTCCATGTATTCTCTGGGTTGCACTTCACTGTTGATTCTGATGTCCATAGTCTTGACTGTGTCAGTGCCCGTGAGGATTTTAAAGGAATCTGTTCAATTATTGCTCTTATGTATCTCGTATTTGTTCTAGTAACATAAGTTGTCCTAGATAAGAGCATTCGCTAGGCAAATTAATATTAATAATAATAATTATTATAATGGAAAAAGAAGAGGCAGATGAGCATTGATTTGCTTTAAATAATGGTTTTGGATTCTGCGGTCTATATTTTCTGAGCTTTACTCTGTACTGCAGATGAGGTTCCGTTCTACAAAACTGACCTTTGCACAAGAGTTTAATAAAATAAAAGGAGAGGCTGATGTGTTGTGACCTTTGTACTGAGGACAGTGCGGGCTGCCACTTTTTGCTGTTGTTCCTCATGGGATTCACGGACCATCACTGTCTTTAACTACAGACTCTGAGTGCTACAAACCTGCACTTAGTAGGACAACAGACAGAGAGATGTCCAGGATGGTATTTCCATACAGTAGCTTAGTATTACAACAGTACAGTGTCTGAGTCAGGGCCACAGTTTTCAGGAGCTCAATTTTAGAATGCTAGGATGCATTCTGTTCAGTACATCCACATTATTGCTGTGTCTAGTAGCCCTGTGTTATGATGCTATGCTGCATCTGTTTTTAGCAGCTTAGTTTAAGGGTCCCTCTACTTGTTTGGTAGCTCATTGTTGAATGAGTCCATGTTTTCAGTATTTTAGTATTAGTGAACACAATTTGCAGTGTCAGTTTAATAGGGTGTTGGACTGCATTGCTCAGCAGTACAATGCTAGAGTCCTGGTCTATACTGAGATCATCAGCTAGCTCTATGTTAGTTTTGGGCTGCATTCTGCAAGGCATGTTTTAACCCCAGTAATTTATGTTGGAACACATTCTCAGTCATATTTCTCCAGATACAAACTGAGCGGTTTTCCAGCTCCCAGCCAGGAGAAAAAGACACAGTTGAATGACTCAGAGGAAGGAGTCTGTTCATCAGCCTGGTCTGAGCTATGCTTCTCCTGCAGACATGTGTCCATCACTAATGGGACCCCACACACTCTCCAGGGTTGCCAATGAACCGGTTTTCCTGGAATGTGCTGGCAGCGGCGACACTAGGAGATGAGTCTTTGACACATTGGCGTAACTGTGCTGAGAACACATTGGGGCAGGGCTCATTAGCACTGGATGGGAGCAGGAAGCAGTTAATAGCCACTGAGAGATGAACAGTGTTTACTTGGCAGCATCAATGTTGTGGAATGCACACAGAAACAAGAGCTAAATGTCTTCAGCATCGTTCTGCAAGTGTCTCAACCACTTGGTGCCAATGTTAGCGATGGGTGATGGGAGATATAAGTGGAGGTGTGGTGGCAGATGGGGGTGAGGTATAGATTGTGGCAGGTTTTAACTCTACAAACAAAAAAACAAACAACCAAACACTATATTGACCTTATGTTCACAGAAGACCTTGTTTTGGATACCTTTATTGTACGGTAGCCTTTGTCTGTCTCAGTGTCATTCCTCACTTTGTTTGTGTATTGTATTGGATTATAAACCCGATTCATTTTTCTTGTAATGGTCGTTTTTCTGTTTTCTCTATAACATTTGCTTCACCCGAGAATGAACTCTAGGTTAAGTTCAATTTAAACTCTGACATAATGTGGCTAATGGTGGCTCTAGGTGGCAATGTAGTACCCAACCTTATGACATGTGGCTGAATATATTCTGAACAAGCCTGCAGCTAAGAAGCATTTTAGACACAGCAAGAGAGGTCCTTCAAACTGAAATTTAAACAATGGAGCCCTCATTAATCCTGCTGGATACGATTACCGTGGACACAGACAAAACAAGCCTGCCAGGTAAGAGAAGGAGGGGGGGGGGAGAGGGGGAGAGGAAAAGGGAAGAGAAGAATGTATCCGTGCATCTCTCAATAAACTTAAACTGAAAACCACTATGATTTTGAATCCAAATACAAAAAATGCACAACTTTGCATTCCACTAAATTAACTGGAACATCTCCAGGTACACTTAACTAGAGGCAATGCTTCTTAACTAGGGGAGTTAGAAGAGCCTTTCAGGAGAAGCCCAGCAGCAAAACATTAAAGCTTTATACCCCAAATCTGCCACTGTGTAAAACCAACACTCTGGCACCAGGCTACCATTGTACTTTTAGTATACTTAATGCTGTTGAATCCAGGACAAACTCTGGCCAGAGGCATCTGTGTGGATTTCACTTATTTTCTGTTTAGAAAGGGATCCCTGCAGCCAGATTAGGCCGAATTCCTGACCCAAAACTCTATACCCTACCCTGCTGGACAGAAAGACACAGGGAAAAGACCTACACATCTGAGGTAACATTTAACACTGATAAATAGCTAGAACTATTCAGCTTTTATGAGCTGCAGGACCTAGTGTGAGGTGTGCTGATAACACAGAAAGGCTGTAGGTTTAATATTATTTTAACTTGACCTACTTGTCTAGACATATTTAGTGAAAATCAAGGAAAGAGGCTAGAAATATCCAGCAACTAGTGCTATAGAAGACCCTGCAACTCTGACGTGGATTAAATTGTGATAGGAGTCTAATTTGTTTCTCTGCTACAGCATCACGAAATTGACCGCACTCAGTTACTCCCATCCAAACCGCACGGAAGAGCAAGAAAACTTGCCAAAAAGTTTGGACTGCTTTTGAACATGTTTTGTGTTTTACGTGTTAGGCAAAGACGGAAAAAAATGAAAACAAGAGTTTTCAAGGGAAAAAAAGAGGATGGCGTATAACATGAAAGACAGACTGACTGACAGATACCCAGGCACACTGCCAGAGTGGGCCTGTAGACAGCTTTATTGTCTCATTATGTTTCCTATCAATTTGTTTGCAATAAATCTTTCTGTCTTGATCAGGCATTACCTGTCAATTCATGCCTCAGCACCTAAGCTGGGTAAACAGAGAGCACTATTCTTCTCTGGGCTCTGCAAAGTCTTGGCCAGGAGTTGTGTTTGTGTCGGTAGGATCTTGGCTCCATTTCGAATCCTCCAGCTCTCAGTGTGGTTGTGTGTCTGTACTTACCCTGTGGAACCCACAAGTTGTATGCACTACACCACCACTCAGGTGAAGAGCTTCACTCTCCTTGCTCATTGCAGTGTCTGCGTTTTTACACTCATTCTAAATGTATTTGATTCTCAACCTGCTCTTCCCCACTCTTGACCAAGTGAATGGGCAGGGATTGACAGAGACAAGGGATATCGGCATTCTAAAAATTCTGCAGTGTATTTCCATTCATTCTAGCACTGATTTACCATGCTTATCCATAAGATAATTTTGTATTACCACAGCTCTTCACAATGTACATCTTGCCTCATTATTATTTACCATGACATCTGCGTGTTCTACCGCAATCAGTTCTGCAGCGAAGTTTGACAGTGGCAGACCCAAAGAAATTAAACTAACCTGCTAACCTCTCTCAGCTCCTGCTCATAACTCTGATACTCTACGCTGACACTAAAACACTGCATTCTGAATGGAGAGAAAATGAATTCAGAAACAGACCATGTCCATATGGTAGCAGTGATAGCTGAAACACTCAAGTATGAAGTCCATTATCTCCAGCTGCATGGGTGGTCTGCACTGGTCAGCCCAAAGCCGGACAATAGTTCTCAGAGGCTCTCAGAGCAGTGAAAGACACCAGACACTGATGACTGGCTTAATCCCAGTGTAGAACTGATGCTAATGCTTTCTGATATATTCCTGCAGATCAATACAACGTCACAACATACCTGCTGTTTTTCACAGAAGCACGGGGCCAAACATTCACATTTAAGATTTGTGCTTTTGCCTGGGCGATGTTTCAGCATTACACTCCCAGAACAGCAGACTGCAGCGTAGTCCTGCCCAGAAGCAACTGGGGGTGACATGTGTCTCCAGCACGTACCATCTGAAGACAGACATACTGTAGGGGAGAGAGGGAGGGAGGGCGTGCAGAAAGAGAGACAGAGAGGGAGGAGGGAGGGACAGACGAGAGACACAGTGAGAGGAAATCGGGCAGAAGCAGCACTGACGAGTGGCATTGTGGGGGTTGATTTATTGGAGCACGTGAGGCGGCAGGCTGGGAGCAGCGGCCTGTCTGTGATCTTGTCTAAGTGCTGCAGCGCCCTGGGAGTGCTGGGGATTAGAGGCTGTGAAAACTTCACTTGTCTGTCCCGGCCTGGAATTCGCTTCAAAGCCCTTTGAGCTTCTCCAGACCCCAGTTCACAGTGCCCCCCCCCAACACACACAAGGAAGGTGATACAGCCATGTCCACACTGCATTAGCGCTATTAGGTAGCCAGGGATGCTCGAGTTGAGGGGAGGGGGGGGTCAAGAGAAACTTCCAGATGGCAATAAAATGTCTGCCACTTTACTTATTGAATTTCTAATGTGCACCAGGTGTGGAACTGAAACCCCCAGCCCTGCCTTCACCACTGCTCAGACCAGCTTCCACCAAGCTGAAAAAATGTCTTTTAAACTAACCTCAAACTCACCAAGCCGGAGAAGAGTGCACTGTCTGTCCCCGCCACCTCACACTCTCCTTCTCTCAATGTTTCTTTTATCTCTAAGATAAAAAAAGAAACTCATGCCAGGTAACAGAATGATATTTAGGGGATGTCACAGGGAAAGTCACGCTCTCAAAAGGCTGGAAAAAGTATGCGGAATGTGTAAGATCCACAACTTAAAAGATTTTATTAAATATAAAAACTTATTTGCCCTGACTGGTCAACTCCTGGATTTGTACTTTAACGCACTTTCTTTCCCCCCTCATTACAGCTTCAAAGATGTTCTAGTTTGGAACATCCAGCCTGGACTTGTTTACCACTAACACAGATGTAGGTGTTTCATTAAACTGCTTTTCTTTTAAAGGCTCATTTTTTGCTTGGGATTTGCTCGGCCCTTCCCATAACAGCAGACTAACAAACAGTAAGCACAGGGCTGAGCAAAGCACTTACCTTCGATAACTGTAGGGTTGGGTTTGATGGTCTTAATTTACACTGCTCCTCAGGGCAAGTCCCTGGGTGTTTGTCTTCAGTGTAGTTGACACTTATCTGGAGTGGGTCTTCTGCAGTTGCCAGTGTACAATACCAACTAGTTAGTTCATTGTCTTTCAGCACAGCAATTGGAAACAAACACAATCCTGACGATGCCCAAACATTACAGAAAGAATGTTTAGAAATTACTGTTAAAGGAACTGATATGACTAATGCATGTATTTATTGTTGTTTTTTTTTTCCTGTGGGAATGAGACAGTGTATGCCCTATGAATGATTATTATAATGATTGTATGTACGATAATCAGATCAAAATTAAAGCACCAAAAGAGTAAAATACACATTCATTAATGCTTACACCTTGGCCCGGTTGCAAACGTAAGCCCACAGCCACTCGGCCCATTTTTCTCTTCCGTACGCGAAGGGAAGTTCGGGACTCAAATTAATCGTGCGGGAGGCAAAACCAAGCGACTTTACTGATCGCGGCAATGTGTGACCTTTCAGCTTGTAAAATCATTCTGTAACTTCACCGCAAAGAGACTGGCTTCAGGTGAGTAGTGTGTCACAAATAATGTTAACATATTCTACGAATAATCAGACACTTCGAAAGCAGATGCTGAGAAAAAAAAACACCTCTTTGAAACGAAACAAATCAAATCTTCTTTACATTTCTTCCGTTCACGTTATTTTTTAATATTACTTTATTACTTTGCTTCCCGAACTATGTAACGCGGTTACAGATGACTAGGAAATCGTTTCTTCGTTGTAAACATCACGGTGATTTAAGATACATCTGGCTTCTGCTAAAAAAAAATCCCAACAGTTACACATTGTGAATTGCAGCCGAACCTGTTGAACTAGAGAGGTTTGGTGTCGTGGAACCGTTCGATAGGTATTCTCGGGCGGACTGCTCGGGACTCGCAGAGCCCTGTGCTGGGGGGTGAACCCAGGGATTACCCTTGCTTAACCTCGGCGTGTCGGCGTAAACACACTGACACGACATAAGCGCAGAGCCGGCAAAAGCACAGTACACGCCGGCCGGCCTTTCATCCCACTCACACCTCCCGGAGCAGCAGAAACCCGCACCAGAGCCAGCCCAGCTACAGGAGACACGCTCATTAAAGGATTTATGGCGTCTCTCCCTGAGAACATAAGAGTGACGAACGGACCCTGCCCACCCCGAGAACCACGTTGCATGGATTTCTTTTTCACGCCGAGAAACATCTAAGCTGTAGTATATGATTTAATCAGCGTCTACATTATATCATATGCGCCTCTGTTTCTACAAGTGCAGAAAGATACAGCCCCTTTGTTTCATATTTCGTGCGCTGGGTTTTGAAAATAAAAACATTAAAAGGCTTGAAAAGGCTTTTCAGTCTCTTCGTGCAACTATTTTATTTTGTTCTCCGTGTTATTTTGTCGAAACTAAAAACCTATGCACAAAGTTACAAAGTTTCGCAAAACGCGAAAAAGTAGAGCAGTGAGCAATTACTAAATTCTTTCATCTTGAAATCTAATATTCAGACACTGAGTAGGTTTTTAAGAACCTGTAAATTAATGTGTGCCGTCTTGGTTCATGGTATGGATGAATATGTTTTTTTGCAAGTGTTATTTTACAACAAAGTTACAGAGTATAAATCACATATAAAACGTTAATAACTTGCCTGTTAACTGTATAGCGTCGTCATCACTATGGTTAGCAATGACAATTAAACGATTAATATTTTTTTGTTGCAGGTTCTCCATTATCGTTTGGCAGTTTCAGTAATATTTTGAATACACAAGATTATTGTTGCTGTTCGTTGAATATAAAATACTTCAACAGTGAGTGAAGAATTGGCTGTATAACTTTGCAACAAGTCTTTGACCAGTTTAGGGAACAGTAACTACTCATGAAGCAAAATGACTACTTCCTTTTTACATATGTAAAAATATTAATGATTATGTATAAATCATACATGATGTGTTAATAAAAAATATATTAATTCGTATTTTCTGTATTCATAAGTTACCAATACAGAAAGCACTGTACATTCACAATATTTGACTAAACTGACATTCCGGTCAAAGAATGAGTTTGTACGCGCTACTACCCTGTCGAGTTATTCATTAATTAACTGCCTTAGGGTAGCCGTTGTCCGAGTTCACACCTTGGGTTTAAGAATGAAAAAGCTTTTCCTCACTATCAGAGCGTGTGGGTCGGTGCCCAGCCGGGTTCTTTCCGGCAATCCGGGTTGAAGGCTTGTTTCCCTCAGAGAACGGAAATTAAACCGACGGTCGGCCTTTACTCACCCGGGCGAAAAGGTTCAGAGCACAATCCCAGTCTTCACTCGGGTTCATAAACACTGCAACTGCCAGAGGTCTTACTGAAGAACCACGTCAACGACAGCACGGATCAATCAATCAATACTCTAGATGGATTAGGGAGTAAAGGGGGTATTATTTATTCTGCGTTTACAGTTCCCAGATGTAAAATCTGTTATATTTGATAACAATGATGAAAGCTTATGTGGAGCTATAGCTTAATTTAATTCTTAATAGCCAACGGAGTGCTACTAACATAAGAAATACCACGATGTCCATCAAAAACAACAATTATTATTATTATTATTATTATTATTATTATTATTATTATTATTATTATTATTATTATATGTCATGTTAGTACAAAACAAAGTTATGCTTTTTACTTTTTCGTGCACAGCTGAACAAGATTAGGAATCTTTATACGCAGAGTGGGATATGAAACACTTCGACCAAAACTGCCTACGGCTGTTATGTCGACACTTCGTGTAATTTTAAACTTTATGGGTTTGCCTCTTGTTAAACTAAAGGCCATTGCTTTGTTTTTTTACAGAGCTCTGGTTTAACGAAGAAAGCGGGCGAGTCAGCGCCGGTTCGCAGAGCCGTGTAGACGCTTTCAGTTCAGTGTTACCAGATCATTATGATTATAATCACTGTGAAGTCAGCGTTCTCTTCACATGCTGAGTGAGTCACCTCACGGTTCGAAAGTAAAGCGCTTTTTCCCCCCTCTTCAAGTACGTTCAGTTCACGGGCAGTGTGAGCGCATATCCCTGTTCTCACCTGTGTCTGATTCACCTGTCTGGTATCTCACACGGCTCCTGCGTGTCCATAGATATGTCCGACTGGGCGTTGACCTGCAGAGCCGATGTACATCAGTCTCGTGCTATAGGTCATCTCTCATACTCTTCGGAGAACTGCATTTCTATTACTAAACCATTTTTATTAATAGAAGTAATCTACACTGTCAGGGAACTGTTTATTTTGGACCCCTTTTCAGTCCACATTTTAAATTCTGTATGTAATAATAAAACAGGCTTTAACCAGAAGAAGAAATTACACGGGGCCGCATTTAAAACGGCAGAGCCCCGGTGGGTCTTGAACTGTGAAACTGTGAGAGGGTTTCGCAGTTTAAAATATTTATCAA